TATCAGAACTAGGACTAGGACATCAAGTACTAAGACTATTTATCCATGGCTAAAACCCACCAGAGCCATCAACATTCCCACACATGTGATTGATCTGGATTTTATACATTCCTCCCCAACTGCCAATCAGTATTCACATGTCTGCCACATTACCTACAAACTATTTATCTTCAACTCCCAAATCGGTGTATACCAAGTAGGTACTTATTGCTTCCAGTTTGGTGTGCCTGTAAGCGGGTTTTCTCCCTTAATCCTTACTTAGCGTACTTCTAGGAGTTCGTATCTCAAGCCATACAGCTGCCTCTATCCAAACAGATAAGTATCTCAAGCCTGCATGTTGCCGTAACTAGCTGGTTTCCTGTGACTTTCAGGACCCAGGTTTTAACATATCCAATTAGGTCTGTGCTAACGACTGTACTTCCCAATATGGTGACGAGGGTGCTCAGGCATGTTTTGCAAATGCTTCCAGTAGTCAGTATAGTTGGATGGCATCATGAGGCTCAGAGGTAACAGGTGCATCATTGTTTTTTTTTATGGTAATTCTCAGCAGTTGTAGTCTCCGGTTATTGCTACATGCACTTATACTAGCTATACTTATATTGGTGGTCTCAAGTCCTCTTAACGCCAAAGCTCCTATACAGGTACAACCAGAGACTATTAGGTTTATCAACACGTACACACCTCTATGCTTCAACTTCTTATTGGCCAGTGAGTTCCGTATATGCCAGAGGTGTTCCAAATCTGGTAAGGCCAATTCTTTACCACAGGTCCCTTTGTGTTTACCACATTTCTCACCACTTTCCAATTCTGGTTACCACCTGGTTATCCTTCCAAACAAGATCCCCAATGCCACCTTAGGGGTTGTTAGTACTGCCTTGCCAATCGCAAATTTACACACACAACCTTTGTGTAATAGAACCTTCTGTAACAACTACTGTTACACATAGTGCCAACTACTCCACAATGGACCTTCTTCCAAAAATTCCTAATCCAGACCTGGGCTTCCCATAGCAGATACTTCCAAATATTCGTACTTACTAGGATTTGAACCCGTAACCCGCTCGTAGAGAGTTGGGTGCCTAGACCATTAGGCCGCGAGATCTTAACCCCATTATCACAAAGTTTGTCAAAGTATTTAAAAAATACTTGTTAAGTATTTGCTAAATATTTAATAAATGCTTATTGGGCCTAAAGTATGTTGGGATGTAATTATAAGCACTTATTTAATTGGTGATCTACCAGTCAACCAGAGAGTAATTATAGTAAAATGTGACTCAAATTACTTATAAAAATTGGAGGTCTTCAAATGTGGTATGCATGTATCTAAAACTTTTTTTATACTAAATTAATTACTTTTCTAACTTAAGAGATTTTTATAGAGCTTGTCAAGATGCATCTAATAGTAGTTAAAGCATCAAAATCAGCCTGGTAGATGCCAAGATATCTTTAAAAACTTTTCTTTTACTATGTAAACTTTTTTACAAACAATAGTATTATTTGCAAAGAAGTTTACATAGTAAAAAAAATGTTTTTTAAAGATATCTTGGCACCCACCAGGCTGATTTTGACGTTTTAACCACTATTGGGTGCATCTTGACAAGCTTTACAAAAGTCTTTTAAGTTAGAAAGGTAATTAACTTAGTATAAAAAAAAATTTAGATACACACACACCACATTTGGAAACCTCTAATTTTTATAAGTAATTTGTCATATTTTACTATGATCACTCTCTGGTTAACTGGTGGATTACCAATTAAAGTATTTAAAAAATATTTAAAAATTAAATATGAGAATTATATTTTAGTGCACCCTGTACCATGGTGCATCCCTGATCACAGAGTATATAATCAGTGATTATTAATAATCACTGTTTTTTTTGTTTTTTTTTTTTTTTTATAATGATAATACTCTTTTTTTTTCAAGTATTGGGATTTGGTAGTTGCCACTTGCTCTTCTTGAGTTTCACTTCTTTCAAGGTGTCTTTTTATTTTTCTGCTTCGTCTGGAATTAGGCTTTCGATTTTGGGTAGGTACTATTTACTTACCTGTTATTTTGTTTGCCTGGTTTTTTCCGGTGATTTCATTTGTCTACTTTCTAATGCCCATTTCTTAATTCCAAGTAGCCTTGCTTCGTTTTCTGCTTCATCAAGGGTTAATTTTTTGGTTTGGGTAAGTATATTGTACTTGTTTGTTGTTTTCCTAGTTGTGAAACACATTCAAGTGACGTGTCTATTTCTTTTTTCCGGTGATTTCATTTGTCCACTTTCTAATGCCCATTTCTTAATTCCAAGTAGCTTTGCTTCTTTTTCCACTTCGTCAAAAGTTAAGCTTTTGGCTTCAGGTGGGTATATTGTACTTGTTTGTTGTTTGTCTGGTTGTGAAACACGTTCAAGTAACGTGTTTATTTCTTTTTTCTGGTGATTTCATTTGTCCACTTTCTAATGCACATTTCTTAATTCCAAGTAGCTTCGCTTCATTTTCCGCTTCGTCAAGGGTTAAGCTTTTGGTTTCAGGTAGGTATATTGTACTTGTTTGTTGTTTGTCTGGTTGTGAAACATGTTCAAGTAACGTGTCTATTTCTTTTTTTTGGTGATTTCATTTGTTTACTTTCTAATATCTATTTCTTAATTCCAAGTAGCTTCGCTTTGTTTTCCACTTCGTCAAGAGTTAAGCTTTTGGTTTCGGGTGGGTATATTGTACTTGTTTGTTGTTTTGTTTGCCTGGTTGTGAAACACGTTCAAGTGATATATCTATTTCTTTTTTCTAGTGATTTCATTTGTCCACTTTCTAACGCCTATTTCTTAATTCCAAGTAGCTTTGCTTTGTTTTCTGCTTCGTCAAGAGTCAAGCTTTTGGTTTCAGGTGGGTATATTGTACTTTTTTGTTGGTTTGTTTGCTAGTTGTAAAACACGTTCAAGTAACATGTCTATTTCTTTTCCGGTGATTTTCATTTGTCTACTTTCTAACGCCGTTTCTTCTTTCCTGTAATTTTCACTTCGTTGGTATTGTTGTATGAGAATGGTGAAGTAAACAATTTCATTATTAGTGCTGTCGTTTATTGAATTGGTAAAAATATTTTTTCGTTGATGTCATTGTTTGAGAATCTTTAGATTCTATCGTTGTTGTTGTTAATTAGAGTTAGGGTTAGGGCATCTTGTATTTCATCGTTTTTGCTGTTAGTTAGTTAGGGTTAGAGTAGTTTTATTAGTTAGATAATTGTGATCTAGTTGATGTGACTTGTAATATGACATAATTGTTGTATACAAGTATAATAAATTAATTTGCTATTAATCGCTTATAAATAATTTATGTAATAAATTTTTATACAGTATTAAATATATTGGCCGTAAATCACATAACAGCCTACTGATCACGTCGATCATGTGATTAGGGGTGCATCATTTTTTAAAACCCATTAAATATATTATAAATATAAAATTTAATATAATTTTTTTTTTTTAAATTTAGCAGCCTTGCCTCTACTGTTTATTAGATTTATACTTAGGTATTTTTAGTTATAAATGTTATAAGTACAGTTACAACTATCTAGTATATAGTCAACTCTCTCTTAACCGAACCTCTCTAAACCAAACTTTTTCTTAACTGAACCAAAAACTCTAAGACATTTATAAATTTTATTACAGGGGGGTGACAAAAATATTTCCACATCTAAGGACTTGGCTTATAACTCAAAAACTTACTAATTAACTTATATCCTTGATTTGACTATAGTAATATTTACTCCTTGAGAATTATTCCATATCATTTTTAGATCACATGCTTGCATAATTAGAAGGTTATTTAACTTTACTTTTAGAGTTTTGATAAACTCTGTAAGTGTCTGTGTTTCTGTGTAAATATTTCAATAACTATCAGTCTAATTTTAATAAAATTTTAGAGAAACCTTTTCTCTACCTACTGTAAAAGTTTAATCAAATTTTAATCAATAATCAGCCAAGAAATTTAATAAAAACAAAATTATATAAATCAAAATTCTTAGCTAATTTTCTTAATGATTATTAGTTTAAAATTAATAATTTTTATTTTTTCTAATAGATACACACTTCCTCTACAACATAAAAAAAATTTAGCAAAATCTAATTACTAGTTGCAGAGATAATTCAAAAAATCTATCATAATATATCAAATTTTATTCATCATCGTATATCTTGATTATCTCGGCAACCAGTTACGGACTTGCTATTTTTTTTTTTATTTTGTAGAGGAGACATTGTACTTTTAAAAAAAAAAAGTTCACTTGATTTTAATTACTAGAAGCCGAAATAATTGAGGTTAAAGTTCGCTATTAATTTGATAATATTATGCTACGATTTTCATCGGCGATTGTCACGATTATCATGTGACACAATCATTAAGGCATACTCAATTCACTTACATATACTTTCTAACTCCATAGTCTTTTATTAATTGGTGATCCACCAGTCAACCAAAGAATGATCATAGTAAAAAGTGACTCAAATTACTTATAAAAATTAGGAGTCTCCAAATGTGGTGTGCACGCATCTAAAACTTTTTTTTATACTATGTTAATCACTTTTCTAACTTAAGAGACTTTTGTAAAGCTTGTCAAGACGTATCTAATGGTGGTTAGAGCATCAAATTGGCTTGGTAGATGCCGAGATATCTTTAAAAAATGTTTGCAAACAATACTATTATTTGCAAAGAAGTTTACATAGTAAAAGAAATGTTTTTTAAAGATATCTTGGCATCTACCAAGCCAATTTTGACGCTCTAACCACCATTAGATACGTCTTGACAAGCTTTAAAAAAGTCTTTTAAGTTAGAAAAGTGATTAACTTAGTATTAAAAAAGTTTTAGATGTGCACACACCACATTTGAAGACTCCTAATTTTTATAAGTAATTTGAGTCACTTTTTACTATGATCATTCTTTGGTTGACTGGTGAATCACCAATTAAATACCTTTTTTATTTTTATTTTTTTCGTATCCAGCTAGACTAAACTCAAACTTTACTCTAAGTTTGAACTAGGTTTGCAAACCAATATATTTAGATATAGTTTTTGATTCTGAACAAGTTTACATAGAATATAAATATATATTTTATTAATAAAATATTGCGTGATGCAAAATTTTCTAATAAAAATATAGAAAATCTTGTATAACGCAATATTTTATCAATAAAATACTGTATATCTTTGTGTTCTAAGTAAACTAGTTCAGTGCTAAAAACTACATTAGTTTGGTATAGGTTGCTATATTTATCGTAAAAATTGAAAAGAAGATGCTCAATTTATCAAAAATCTAAAATTAAGCATATCTTTAATTTTTATAATAAATATAGCAATCTATGCCAATCTAATGTATTTTTTAGCGTTAAACAAGTTTACTTAGAGCATAAATATATATTTTGTTAGCAAAATATTGCGTAATGTAAAAGTTTCTATATTTTTATTAATAAAAATATAGAAAATCTTATATAGCGCAATATTTTATTAATACAATATATTTTTATGTTCTGAGTAAACTGGTTCAGAACTAAAAACTACATTAGTTCAGCATAGATTGCTATATTTGTTGTAAATATTGAAGAAAAGATTTTTAAATTTAGAATTTCTCGAAAAGAACCAAATTAGAAACAAGAAGAAAAAATTTTCTCACGACGTTTTCTCGAAAACTTACTAAGTAAATTGATATCCAGCTCTTAAGTAAAGTTATTCAGCACCCCGAAAAGTACTTAAAGGAGGTGCAAATTTTGTTAAAAGACCCCACTGCAACAAGTTAATAGCAATAAACACCCAAAACAGCAACAAAGCAGTTTTTTAATCCTTTCGCGAAAGCGGTCTTAAGGGCCCTCAACTTTCACATAATTTAAAAGATTTTACAGATAGTACTCTAAGCAAAAACAGTAAGCAATTACAAGTTTCATATCATACTAAGCCCCAAGACTCTGACAAAAACATGGTCTCCGAAAGCTTTTCCTCCTACTGGAATATTTTTTCCCAGAACACCAAGGCTGCTCCACCTGAAGACACCTCTACTATTAGCTCACCGCTAGATCCTAGTGTAAAACACATAAAAAAATTTTTAAATATCACTATTAAAGATTGGTCCAAATTCATATTCTCTGTTAGCTTCTCTGTTTCTGAATATGCTGATATCTTCGTTTTCTTTGTTGATATTACTAAATCTGGAAAAATTTCTAACTTGACTAACTACCCATCACAATGGGTATGCAGACATGAAGATCCTACCCAATCAGTCCTGTTCGATCTCACATCACAGAAAAGTAATATTGTCAATATTAGCGCCAAATACCCGAAACCCACCCGGAATAGTGATCTTGCAACAATTACAGACCTATATAAAGCAAATATGAAACTTTATTTAAAAACTAAAAGCATAGAAAACTTAGCTTCAATCCCGTACGACTGTATTACAAACCTGGACTCAGACAATGAATCCAATAGAAGCAATAATGAACAAGTAGCACATACTGCTCCCATCACCAATCCTGGTTACCCCCAAGACATAGTTGCAGGTTACACAAATACTAACACAAACAACAACATTACAAACTTTATATCAACTACAGACAGACCCCCAAATACCAATACAAATAACAGCTCTAGTGTTAACAATGCCACAAAGATGTCAATACCTAGGCCCAGCACACCTACCAACCAGATCACCCAGCCTGCACTCTCTGTATCAACTTTTAATTATACACCTGCTATTATTAGGACCAACCCTAGTACTAATCGGAAAAGATCCAAAAACTTATCCAATATATCTCCACTTGCTATAACTTCAAACAAAGCCTCCAAAGCCTTATCTAATAATACCTCCACACCTATTAAAATACAAGCAAGCATAAAGACAAATAATACTAAACCTACCTACAGCCTAGTAACTCAAACAAACCTCAAATAACTCAAAACTGAGACCCCAGAAGACAAAATAGTGTGGGTATTAGAAGTTTACCTCAAAACAGCTACACCAATTGACACACCCTTCAATACCGATATTTGGACTATTGAGAAAATTGCTAAAGCACTTAAGGGCATCTATAAATTCACTAGTTATAAGCTCATTACTATCCAAATATATTACCAGCTACCTGAAGCAATTGCTTTTAAGTTTGCTCACCAGGATACTAGATTCTTTACTACCTTTACACGCAACTCCAAGATTACCCCTGCATACCAAAAGGAATATAATGAGCTCTACAATAATACTCTAGCAGCCTACAAACAGAACCATGAAATTACACTTACTAATGTTACTACTCGTAATACTATTCATACAATGCTCAAAAAGTGGTTTATAGCCCAGTATCTCTCAAACTTTAACTTTTCCAAAACAATATACAGAAGAATATGCAATGCTATCCGGTATGCTAGAGGTTTCTTGAAGATCAAGAATACTAGTAAAGAAACTCCCAGAGAAATCAGAGCTCAAATCAACAAAGCACTTGAAAACAATCTTATTCTATTATCAGATACACTAGAAGAAATATCTAAAGAAGTTCAGGAGATCTTACCCTTTGAACTTTCTATTAAAATACGGTCACATACTAGAGCTATTATAAATGCTTTAAGAAGAATCTACAAATTTTCAGAGCTCCCTGAGGCATACTTTGCCAAACTCCCTTCACTACCTTCTCACTTTAATGAACTTCCACCCAACTTGCGCTAGCTATTCCCTATTTCACACAGGTCTTCTCTTCAATACCTTGCTCTATATAAAAGAAAGCTAGCAGACTCATACACAGTCACTAAAATTCCAGACTCATACTTTGATCTTCCACCACCCAAGAAACCCCTATCTACAACATACCAAGAGCTTAACCCCAAAGTTCGAAAATTATTTCCCTTTAACCAAGCTACTTCCCGGATTCCTTTGGCAGATATTGTTTTCCAACTTAGAGAATATTATATATTCAAACTACTGCCCAATGACTTTTTTATAG